CGGGAAAATTTTTAGGTTTGATTTTCACATCGGATATACGGACACACATTTAAAGTATTAAACGTAGTATAATAATGAAACAAATTATAGATTCTGTCAGGAAACCCCATTAGGGTCTGGTAATTGTTTTTTCCTACATTTAATACTCCATACATGTGTTCAAACATTCATTGTGACAACATGAAAATTTATGTTTTGGGAAGTAAATAGGGCCTGAGTTAGGAAAGTAGAGGGAAGAATAGCATTCGTTTCAGGGTGTTCCCAACCTATTTTTCTCGTTTTTTGCGCGCACACTTTTCAAACTGTACCTTTTTTTTTGCAAAAAAAATTTTATACGAAAGTTGCTTAAAAAATCAAATTAATCTATTTTTTAAAAAAAATAGCGAATACTTAATTAATCAATCGCTAATGGACCGCTCCGTTTTCCGTGTGAAGAAGATGGTTCCCAGTCCCATGTATCGAACACATAGGGGGATATGTTCTTCCTCACTTGTTCGATACATGGGATACATGCGGTACATGGCCAAGGACACATCCACCTCCTCACTTGCAAGTTGCAACTAGGTAGGCCATGAAACAAGTTGCAGAGCATGAGTTGTTGCAGCAATCAATTTTGTCGTATGTGTTCATCGTTATGCGACGCCCTTAATTACAGGTAGGAGGTAATGTCGATGGTTGGGGCATGATGTTTACAGGGCGACCTGTTTTGGTATCAAGAGAGAACAAGTGGAACGAGGTTTCACATGATAAGAAAGGAAGTGTATTCATGGTACTGCACCTGTATACTCCTTAATTCCGTCCCAAAATATTGCTTCATTCGTACTACATATGAACCATAATGGTAGTTAAAATTTGAGATGAAGGGAGTATAGTTAAAATATTGCTACAGGTGGTGAACACAGCGAGCCGTCATTACTTTTAGCTGATCGACATTTACCATTTTCTTCCTTTTTTTAGATTAGTTTTGTTGGATAATTATTAGTAGCCTGAATCTATTAAAACATGGCAGCAATAATTGCTAAAAAATATGACAAAATTTAATAATTTAGTTATTGCGATTAACACATGACACAACCCGTTTCTAGTGTGTTCTGTAATGGATATTCAGGCCCAACAAGAGTTCAGCACATGGCTAAAGATTGGATGGCTAATTTATCCTAAGAATCAGGTGCTTTCACCACATGTAGGAAATAGTTTCTGCACTGGCTCAAATGTTTCAATTTTCTTGATAAAACTCTTCAAAGAAATGCAACTTTTAAAAAATAGTGATTGCAACACCAACAGCCACGTGAAACGTCAAGTCCCAATGGCTAAAATATTGAAAAAAATTTAAAAAATAGATCTAAACATAAAATGTGCAACAGAGTATTATGCCAATTGAAACATCAAATTTCCACAGTTCACTCGTATGCATTTTTTTCATTAGAATATCATCATGTGAGGTATTTTCTAAAGTTTTTTATGAGACAAGTCATTCAATTTTTTTTCCAAGCACTTATGCATGCATGGACAAAGGCGTAGGACACTATACCAGCATTGAGAGAGCAAGCAACCACTGCCTGATGCACCAGCGCAGGATTACAACACGATGGTGGTCATCATGGGCTTCACCGGCGAGATAGTACTATTAGAGAGCGTAGACCAGCTCATCAACTGTTGGCCACACATAGGCCATAGGTCCGACCAACACCACAAGCTCGTCCTTTGACCTACACAACCCAAAAGAATAGCTGATGGGTGCGGACAGCCCTCGTATTTTGAGTTGTACTCTCGTATCGTCAGTTACCAATTTAAGACTAAACTTAACAATCTCCTCCGTCTCACATCAGCCCCAACAATCTCCCCCATTAACCTATGTAGCCTCGAAGACTTGTTTCAGTCCAAGGCCAACAATCTCTTTTGTTTTATCTAAGCCTATGCATTGACCTCAATACTTGTTACTAGACCCTCAATTGTTAGCAACATGGGACTAAACCCAATAGAGAGGAGGGATTGGAAAGTTATGGTAATGGCATTTCTCCACCTCTCCTCTCGAAGACTAAGGCACCACCGCCACCAATTGCCTTTCGTGCCTCCGTGCGCAAATATTGCTAGTCAGATCTGCTACCATCAGCTAGCTATCATCATGTCGCTATGTCTAGATTTGCAATCGTCGTCTGGCCCCTATCACCACCCTTTGAACTGATGGCATTGTGGATGAGATCGGTAGCTCAAGGCATGGGGCTCGGAATGAGGTTGTCGTCACCACATTGAGGAAACATCCAGGTGCAGAAATCTCGATGACATCGGGGAATTAGTGTTGGGACTAATCCATCCATCAGCAGAAGAAGGCAGCCTAAGCATGCCTGGGACTGCGCAGTTGTCGTTACAAGGCGGTGGTGGCCACAGCGGAGGAGACGAGGACATGACTTCATCGTTGATGGCTTGAGGAGGATAGCTTGATGCGGAGATAGTTGCCCTCAACTAGTGCGGAGAGGAAGAAGGCGGTTGCTAGTGAGGATGCTACTCCCAAGTTGTCCCAACAATGCGGAGAGCTCCAATATGGAAAAGATTGGCGACCGGTGCTTTGTGGAGGTGGCATATTCGAAGCCAGGTATGTACGGTGTCAACAAAACCAGCAGAGGTGAGGTCAATGGAAGTCTCAAGTCCCCGGGCAGTGTAGCCAACCTTCTACTCTGATGACACGCTCCCTTCCACCTCATGACTTCCTCCTCACTGTTGCTCCTCCTATGCCCAACACACGTAAAGGGGAAGCTGAAGGGAAAATGAACCGCCTCTTCTCCCTCGGTCAGTTTCTAGCCAGTGCGGCAAGATCCAAAAATTATTGAGTGGTTTTGGGAGAGAAAGTTTGTTAGGTACATAGTATAAGATATAAACATGATAGTATAAGAGAGTTACAATGGGAGAAGTGCGAAGAGGATGGGAAGGGGGAACATGACCTTGGGATGCTAGTGGTGTGGGATGGTGGAAGTTTGTGATGCACGTCGTTTAGTTCAAGTAACTCGCAAAGTACTAGATAGTACTTGCCCTTTTGACAATGTAAGATGGTAGCTGCATTACAAAGTACATCTCGACTTATTTTTAGAATTTTTCTCACTATTTACATAGGTTGGAAGCAGATGTTAAATTCTGGATTGATTTTTTTTTTTTGGCGTGGATCTACATCGTCTATAATTACATTGATAACATTTACATTTTTTTTTGCATATTGCAGATGAAACTTATATTTCTAAATTAGCACTGTAATTTAATGTATAAACTTCAAATCTATTATGGCTTTGAGATCTGGAGTAATGCCAAACATGACCTAAATCCTGGTGAAATTAAGAATGCTGTAATTTGACATGTTGTCAGCTAAAACATAAACTCTAGAACACTCGTTCCTTATGATTCTGAGAAGAGAGATTCCTTCAAGGAAATGAGTTAGCTACTAACTAGATTCACTTGGAGATTGTGGAAGAGGAGTTTTAGCAAATACAGCTGTGGTAGAAGCAACTAGGATCCCACCACATATTCCCCCATATGGTAGTGATGCTCATGTGGTGCTATATATATAGTTGTACAAACAATTGATATTTATAGATCAGTGCGTTAAATTTAGTCCCTCTAGTTTGTTTCTATTAGGTGGCTAGTAAAAGCACAGTGCATACCTAGTACTACATCCTTGCCTAGAATAGCGCAAATTTATTAAAAATGTTGATCATCATGCTAGCATACACTCCAGCATATTAGCCTTTGGGGTAATGAAATTGCAGAGCGCACGCAATAACATACCGATCGGCACTATATGCCGAAAATGCTAAAACCGTCACCTATCTTGCTTTTTCCATCCAAAACGCGCATCCATGACACACCATCGGCTAGAACCGGTACCTTTGTTGAGAGATAGGTGTCGGTTCTAAATAAAAATCAACACCTATAATATATCATAGGTCCTGATTTTTTAAAAACCGATAACTATATTTATAATGTAGGTGTCAGTTTTATGAAATAATGGCACTTATTAAGAAAACCACCCGACTAAGCCGAATCACAGCTTGTTTCCACCAATATCTCTCCCTTTTGATCACCCCTTGCTCTATTTCTTTATTACCCCTCTCCCTTATCCTCTCCGCCTCCTCCCCTATCCCTCTCTCTCTCCCCCTCTCTCAGCTAACTCTTGCTCCCTCTCTCTCCACCGCATTACCTGGTGGTGGCGCCCTCCCCTTCGCCAAATCCGGCAGAAGGGGAGGCTGCGGCGGCCCAGCGACTCAGAGGTGGCAGCGGCACCCTCCCCTCCAACAAATTCGACGAGAGGGGAGGCAGCGGCAGTGGTGCCCTCCCCTCCGTCAGATTCGGCGGGAGGGGAGGAGGCGGTAGCGCCCTCCCCTCCTTTCACATTGCTTGTGTTGTTTATGTTTATGTTTTTGTGTTCTTATTGTTCTTGTATTTTCTTGGATTAAATGTAGTTAAAAGTGCGATGAAATATGGTTGGGGTGATGGGGACTAATTGCCCGATGCATCGGCTTGATCAAGCTGATGCAACGACCCGGCCTTTTTTTCTTTTCATTCCTGAGACCTCAAAGGCACCTTTGAGAGAACTCAAAGGTTCTGGTTGCAAAATCCAGCACCCATATGTGGTTGTCAACTGACACATATCCTTTTCTATAGTAGTGCCTATAAATCCTTGATGGATGCAAGCATTGTTAATTAAACACACCAGCAAGGCACAATTCAAGAGGTGTACACTGTACATCTTGTTTGCTGCTGTACTAGCGCTGGTAGCTAGCTTGAGACTGATTTCCAAGCTTGATATAGGGATACCATTCAGACGTAAAATCCATGAGTGGTTAACTAGGAAATCGATCGAACGCCATCAAATTCAGATTCGAAAAGGGGTAGGTAAGTCTCGTACGCGTGGGTTTACATAATTAGTTCGTTTTGCTTTGAGTAATCTGCATCTCTTGATTGTTTAGGTTAATCTCTATTGTGGCTCGACTAACACATGCATTCATTAGCAGGGGGCGACGATGCCTGGATGGAATCTGTTGTCGACCAGGGTAGTGGTAATCATCAGCTCCGTGGCACATCTCGGCCTCGTCTTGTGTGCCGAAGTCCGCCGAAATAGTGCGACAGGCTTTCGGATTGTCATCCTGTGGGTGGCGAACCAGATGTCACGTTGGGCCCCGACCACCGCGCTGGCCATGCTGGCCGCCGGACGCACGCCGCAGGAGGAGCAGCTGGTGACGCTCTGGGTGGCGTTCATGCTGCTACACGCTGGTATGCCGGACAACATCACCGCCTACGCCTTGGAAGACGGCGTTCTCTCGTTTCGCCAGAGTGTAAACGTGTTTCTTCAGCTTGTTGGACCTGTGTCACCTGCCTATATCCTGCACCAGAATATGTTCGCCATGCCTGGCGACTCCATGCTGTGGGTCTCCTCGATCATCTGCTGTATGGCCATCTGCAAATATTTGGAGGGGGCGTTTTTCGCGCTGCAGCGTGGCAACCTGGAAAACATGCGAAGCGAAAGCAAGAAGGAGGTTCCAAGTCGAAGAGTAACAAGCCTCCAAAGTCTAAGGCGTGGCGGCAAACCAGATAATGACCAAATCATGCTGGTTGCTCATGGCAATCTCCATATCACCAAGGGTGCCTTCATCGATAATTTGCAATACGAGCATGATGCCCAGCAACAAGAAATACTCCCGAAAACATGGGATGAAAACAAGACACTGTACAAGGTGGTTGAGATGGAGCTCTCCCTCATGTATGACATCCTGTACACCAAGGCAGCAATGGTGCACACTTGGGGTGGCTACGCCATCCGTGTCGCCTTTCCATTCGCTGGAGCCACCGCGTTCCTGTTGTTCTGGTTCCACAGCAAGGAAGGTCAGCCGACGGCTGACGTCTTCATCACCTATATATTGCTCGCTGGCACCGTCATTCTGGATATCATATGGCTACTCAAAGCAGTGGCTTCGACATGGACCTATTCTTTCCTGAATGATAGGCCACGAATCTGGCTTCATCACGCACTTCTGTGCTCAGGGAAATGGCGACTGCTCCGTCGTCTCATCGTCTCATTGAATCTATTTCGGTTCCTTCTCAGTAAGGAGCCAACCAGCTATAGGATGTGGTCCGGAACCATGGGGCAGTACAACATATTGCACGAGTGCACTAGTAATGATCAAGATCAGACCAAGACCTTCTTGCTGACGAGGATATTCATCTCAATATTGGTGAAGATTGTTCCAGAGGATAATTGTATGGAGTTCCAATACCACTACTTGAAGGGCTTTCGTATGTCATCAGATTTCTGCAAGCATTTGTTCGAAAGTATATGGGAATATCTTAAGTCAGCGTACCCGCCTACTGTTCCTATCGAGAAAGCCGACGAAGCCAAACCAGCTGCACCACCGGAGCCGTATCCAGATAAAAAAAAAGAGGCGCCGGCACCGACGCCGCCGCTGCCGCCGAAGGAAGCACATCTACATCAGCGGGAATTAGAAGATGCTCTGAACTTCTCACCTGCATTCCAAGAGAGCATCCTGATCTGGCACATTGCCACGGACGTCTTCCTCTTATGCAGCCATCAATACTCATCCTCGTCCAAAGAAGTGCAGGCGATCAAGGTGTTGTCAGATTACATGGTGTTCCTGGTCGCCGTGCGCCCAAATATGCTACCGGGCCTTAAGCTACGCAGCCTGTACGAAGCAGTTGGTTACGCTCTAACTAATGACGATGAAATATTGCCCAAGGAAGAATATCACGGTAACTTGACAGAGAAAAAGGTGAAGCTGGCCCATCGCCTAGTAGAAATGGAACAGAAGCCAAGCTTAAAGAATGCGCTGCGCAGCAAATGGAGACCTGGTGTCAGTGGACACTGGCTCAGGCCAGAAAAGGCAAGTATTCTTTACGACAAGAATATAATTCTCTCTGACGGAACGAGTTTCGCGCGTGTGCTGCTAAGTCGTATAGGCCCGAACCCATATACCCCGGATGATATAAATCTTAATTACACAAGATATCAGAGACTTATAGATATGATTCCTGAATTGAAAGACGAAAGTAACAGGTTTGATACATCGAAAATGATGCGCCTTATCTTCAGAGCATGGGTGCGTCTTCTGGTGTATGCATCCGTGCGATGCACAAGGGATTCCCATGCCAAGCAGCTCGCCTGTGGTGGTGAGCTCACAACAATCGTCTGGATTCTTAATGAACACGCTGGTATATTTCGTATCGACAGCGACAAGGATGACGACAAGGATAGACTGACAAGTTTATATACTAACGAAGATCGTTTGTACCTTTGACTGCAACTCACCAATTAATTTGTTTTCCTTGTTGATAACCTATATATATAGGGTATGTATCTCATTTCTTTTGTATACTTACGCTCTGTAATTACCTCACTACACTACTTAAAAAACCATTTTCGCTTGCCTTCAATTTAAGTTCACATGCGGATATAAATTAAATTGCACAATGTCTTACTTTATGTTTACTAGGTTAGATCGAGGTGATTAAGGCCATTCCCAACCCAAAACACTACATATAGTTTCCATAAACTACACATCATCAAGAAACTAGTACTAGACACTACTCTTCCAATGCAAACACAACTATTCTATACATAAATTTAATGCTACTTATCTCACATGATGTCTTGGATGTTGTGTAGAAACTGTCACGCCCGGAATTTCTATCCAAAATTCCAAACGCTTACATGTGTGTGAACCCTCGTCCAGGAATCAGCCGAGGCACACAATAACAAATTCATAATAGAGTACAATTATTACTCTAATTAATAAGCGAATAAAATGTCATTACAGAGGTAGATAGTTCCTCTCAATCAATAAAGATCTAAGCAGCGGAAAAAAAAAGAGATAAACGGCGCAGACGACTCCACTCCACAGGCAGCTTGACCAGGGCTACACCTAATCCTCCACACTATCAGCATCACTGTAGAACTCCTCCTCTGATGAATGATTGCAAGGTGAGTATATGACATACTCAGCAAGCCACGCAGCAAATATGCAAGTGCACAAGGATACCAAAGAATGGCATAATATAGAGCTCATTTGCAAAAGCAGCATTTAGCAAACATTTGAGAATTATAAAACAGTAGAGTAATTAATCATCAATTTTAATCAACACTAAACAGCACACCCATGCTGCTCAGGCCCAACCATCCGGAACAACCATACCCGGCTGTACAGATCTATCTCCAAACCAGGAATATACCATTCCAAACCAGGAGCTAAACAAATTTTTACCAGTTATAGCATCTTTTATTATGGTGAGAAGTGTGAAACTAATCACGAAAGACATTGTTAGACCCGCCCATAACCGCGGGCACGGCTATTCGAATAGTTTTACTCTGGCCAGAGGTGTACCACTGTACCCACAAGACACAGCCCCACAACATGTCACCATGTGCCTCAATACCACCACGGTACCTCGGAAAGGAGGTGTGACAGTACCCCTCGCACAACACAATCCACCAAAGCGCACCTTTCCTGGATCATAATCATCCCCTTATAAACAAGGCATGAACTCCCCAGCGACCCCCGTGGACTTATCTCCGCCACTTCTCAGTCTGGTGCTACGCAATGAACCATGCTATACAAAAGGTAAAGCCGTTGCCCACGCTGGCTTGTGGTTGGCACGGTTAATGTTTCACAACCGAAACTCGTGAACCGGTCCTTAATTGTCATGAGCACGACTCTCAAAACCATGTGCTCACAACCCACCATTATCAAGTTTTAGTTGGCAAGTAATTAATTAACCAATCACGATTGACCATCGTGAACTATCATTAAGCCATCATTAAATAATAGTGAGTCATAAGTTATCCCAATAGTGTGCTAATGTTTCTAAGCATGGCTAAGCAATCATATCTAATATCTAGCTGAACCAATATATATAGCCCAACTAGTCAAGTTATAATAACCCAAGGTATCAAGGAATAAAGTAATCAAGAACAAAAGGGCTATAACAAACAATAGGTTAATTCCACCCAATGACATTCGAAAATAAATGCAATAGTTGAATAGAAAAAATAGCTTTAAACGGGATCAACATGCTCAAAGGGTTGTTTGGGACCTGTGTGACTTGCCTTGCTGGCCTTGGAACTCTTCAAATTCTTCTAGTGCGAAAACGAACTCTTCGGAAACGTCGGAATCTAAACAGAAAAGAGAAAAAACACCAAAACAGCACATAAACAAGCATGAACAGTACATGTGGATATTTTTAACATGTAGATCTCAATTTTAGAAAAATTTAGAGACTTGAACCAACTAAATCCGAGCTAAGATGAATTAGTTATGAATTTTCAAAGATTAAATCGGATTAAATCATTTATTTAGATTTTAATTGAATTATGACGCAATAATGAATTATTTTTGAAAAGGAAAAGGGAATTATTGCGTCAGTGGCTAGGGTTCGCGGTGGACCGGGTGCACGGCGGTGGCTCACGGAAACGAACGGCCGAGATCGATCCTATCCAAAACGGACGGCCAAGATCCAACGGTCTACGACCAGGCCACGGGGAACGACGACGATGACGTCAGCGGAGATGTCACTACCGGCGGCGGCTCGGGCGTGCATGCTTGCCGGCGAACGACGGCGCGGCGGCACGAACAGAGGACACCAACACGTAGAGGGCGACGCGGCGAACTCACCGGTGACCAAAACAACGGCGGAAGATCAACGGACGGCGACGGCGGTGAGGAAAAGGCGGCGGAGATGATCGGCTTGACGACGGCGACGGTGTTCCGGTGGCCTACGGCGACGACGGAGGGGCGGACGAGGTCGGCGATGGCTTGGCGATCACGACGGCGGCCTTCCCGAGCGACGACGACGACCGGAGCGGCGGCGGCGCACGGCTGGACGAACGGCGGCGACGGCGGCGCACGGCTGCACGGTGCTAGGGCGCTACCGACAGCGGCGGGCAAAGGCAAGGGTGGCGGCAGGTAGCGGCGGGCTTGGGGGTCCTTTTAAAGGGGCAAGGAGGCGGTGGCGAAGGCCCACGGCGACCGGCGACGCGATGGAAAGATTAGGGTCCGGGAGAGAGAGACAAATCCGATTCGAGATCGAATCCGTGAATTTCCAAACGAAATTAACCGACGATTCCATAAGAGAAAAGATAGAGGGGATCCCGGGGATCATTTCCCTTCTATTAATTTCATCGGAAACAGAAAGGGGCGGGTGGATTTGGAAGGAGACGACGGCGGCGCGGTGCTAGGGTTCGGGCGGTCGGAGGAAGACGACGGCCCTGACAGGTGGGCCCCACCTGTCAGCGGGTGGACGCGCGCGCGAGCGGGCGGCTCGGCTGCGGGCCGGATTAGGCCAGGAGAGAGAGAGAGAGAAGGTTTTGGGCCGACTTTCGGCCCAAAACCAAAAGAGACTTTAAAAACCTTTTCCAATTTAAATTATCCATTAAATGCAATTCCATTTATTAAAAATACTTCCTTAGCTCAAATAAATCCCAGAAAAATCTAGGAATTATAGAGTTAAGCAAAGTATTTAATGAAATTTTATCTGGCCCCATTTTATATTGGAATTTATTAATTAAAATTAGATCTTCTCTTCTAGGCTTTTAAAATAAATTATAATAATTCCAATTAAACAACAATTTATATATTTAGGATTTTTAGGGTGTGACAGAAACCATGTCTCATGTAAGACATAGTTTCATTCTCTTTCCTCATTTATTCACTTGCCACATCATTTTTCATCCTAGGTGGCAGTTTATTTAATGCTATAGATATCATCCTAGTCATTGGGTTGAGAATGGCCTAAGAAGCCGCCCACCGCCTTGAAAATTGTTTCAATTTACCCGAGCAACATAGTTAAGAAGCTATCTGTAATAACACGATGCGCACCTTGAGGGACCGGCTAAAACTAAATATGGATTTCCACATGCGGCTGCCTCTTGCTCACACCCGCGGCCACGACCGTCATGCTCCACCCAGCGCTCACGTGCACGAGCTCTCGCCGGTGGCCTTTGAGGCTTCTGTCCTCAATGGGATGTGAAGAAGAAGAAAAGAAAACAAGGGGGATGAGGAAAGAAAAGGATTTGACGAAAAACATAACGGTAGTGGCACAAATCAATTTTTCTGCAAATTTAAATGACATGAATTTAATAGACGAATAGAAGTGGTATTTATCTAAACGAGCATATTTGTAATGGCATATATCCAATTGTCCCTAACTAATACCAGCCAGCAAACAAATCTTTTTGCATGCATGTGACTAGCAAGGCTGAGCTTGGCCAAGACAAGAGTTACAAGCCAGCCTAATTAGTGACAGCAACCAAACAGATCCATAATTACTGTCGGGTTAATTAAGTTTGTTTTTCCTGATATAAAAATTGCGAGCATCTTACGCCATAATCCACACAAGCGTTGCGAGCTCACCGCCGCTGCTGAGTTGCTTGGCGTGGGACTCCCTGCTGCATCGGTGGCTAACGTAGTGGAGCATCTCCACCCACACCTTGAACAGAAATTCCACACTGGCCCCGTCGTATTTGTTGAGCTTTTTGACTAGAAGGAGGGCAAGCGGCAGAGCATTGAGCGAGACCTTACTGGGGTCCCGGTCGGTGACTCCCAGCTGCTTGGCAAGGCTCTGTGTTTTCTGGACGGATGACTAGATCCTAATTTTGTTGATATCTCGGATGGTTTCACTGTAAATAGTGCGTAGTGCAAGGCCAGGTACCATGTAGGGACGTTCCAGAACTAGGAACATCATGTAGTTGGAAATAAGATTGATTGCTTCAACATACTCGGTGGTCTCTGCCTTGTCGGAGGTGCGGAGGTAGATGTCCGTCGCGATGTGCCAGATAATGATTTGCTGCTGGATCTCGTCGCGAACTAACCTCAAGAACAAGTCGTACATTTCTGCCTTGAGCAACCCCGTCGAGTCCAATGGGATACCCGGTTGCCCCGTTGGTGCTGCATCTTGATCATCTTAATTTATCCTTATTATCGATCTCGCAATCCTTATTGTACGTCGACGTCGATTCTTATTATATCTAGCAAATAGCTGAACACCTGCTCCATGACACGATCAGGAATGACCGTGGTGCCGGAGTAGGTGTTGTCTTTCTTGCGCCACTTGACATGTATCTTCTTGGCAAGGTCGTACCAGACGTCCTTGGAGCCGTCGCGTGTGCAGTACTGCAACATGTTGTGCTGCCAGATGGTGCCGGACCACCTTCTGCTGTCCTCCGCATTGACAAGCCAGCGGATCCACGTGAGCGCGCGGCCGACCTGGCGCCATCGTCCGCTGCAGACCGCCGCGTGGTACAGCCAACCCCGCAGCGGCATGCGGATCAAGAAGGCGTACGCCCAGGTCGACCCGGCTGCCATGAGCAGCCACCATGTGTCTACAAGGACGGCGCCAACCAGCAATGTGTAGGTGATGGCCACGTCGACTAGCATAGCCCCATGCCCAAGGGCGCCGTGGAGGCTGAGATGGAACATCAC